CTGACATCAATGAATAATTTATTGCCACACTGTGGGGATTTTGACCATCCAGACTTCATCATATTTTTGGTCAAGACAGCATACACTAACATGGTCTGGTGTGGTGTGGTGTGGGGGGAAAAGGCCGAATTTCTCAGTACACATGTCCAAAGCAAAGGTGTAATAGATTTGTGGAGGAACTAAATCTGGAAGTTATCATCGAACCTCAACTATGCCCATTAATTTTTACAGCAAAAGAAAAAAACCTTACATTTTCACCACAGGTGGAGGCAACATTAAAACAAATCTCCCATGTGAGTGTTGACTAATATTACATAAAAACGACCACAGTGAATAGTGTAGCTGTAGAGCATAAGCTGCTCATTATTGCGGGGTAATTATGTAATTCTCTGAGACATTTAAATTAGCTTTTTCTCCTACTGCATTTTTTGTGACTGGGGCTCCGTACCAGGACCTGGTATTAATACAATGCAAGATTAGTTATTACTTAGTTTTGACGACAAACACATTGTTCTAGCTAATGCACTGAGATTTTGCCAATAGATTGCCTTCCTAATCAGCCGAACCCTGCAGAGAGAGAAATGGCAGGGGTCCTGTAATGTTAATAAACACCCAGCGTGGGCTCAGCCACGCAGCTTGCATTCCATGATAAAACAAAGGCTCACCTTAAGTGTTGCTTGAAGGCCCAATCATGGAGGTCGGTGGGCCCATCACAGTGTCAAAGCAGGACTGAGGGAAAATCCTGGATAATGGGTGTCATCTGTTTTGCATTGCCTTTTATAGACTGATGAAATAAAAATATTTATCCATCTTTTCATTCATCTTCTGTGGATTGTTCTATTAAAGGCTGCAGATGAGCTGGACACAATCCCAGCTTGCATCGTACCAGAGATGGGATACATCTCCGGACATGTCACCCGTTCATCTCTGAATTCCAACTAGTTAACTAGAAGAAATGATCAACACAAAGGGGCAGTCCTTTACGTGTGACCTTGAAAAACCATGGGAAAAATTACTAGTAGTACTACCAGTATAGTCTTACATGTCAGTGTCACTGAAGAACTGTTGTCTGTAAGTATGTACAGTTGTGCTCATAAGTTTACATACCCTGGCAGAATTTATGATTTCTTGGCCATTTTTCAGAGAATATGAATGATAACACAAAAACTCTTCTTTCACTCATGGTTAGTGCTTGGGTGAAGTAATTTTCTTTTACTCTTTTTAAATCATAATGACAACAGAAACTACACAAATGACCCTGATCAAAAGTTTACATACCCCAGTTTATAATACCGTGTATTGTCCCCTTTAACATCAATGACAGCTTTGAGTCTTTTGTGGATGAGGCTATTTATTTTCTCTGATGGTAAAGCTGCCCATTCTTCTTGTCAAAAGGCCTCCAGTTTCTGTAAATTCTTGGGCTGTCTTGTATGAACTGCACGCTTGAGATCTCCCCAGAGTGGCTCAATGATATTGAGGTCAGGAAACTGAGATGGCCACTCCAGAACCTTCACTTTATTCTGCTGTAGCCAATGACAGGTTGACTTGGCTTTGTGTTTTGAATCATTATCATGTTGGAATATACAAGTACGTCCCATGCGCAGCTTCTGGGCTGATGAGTGCCATTGACCCTCCCGTGCCTTCGTAGCTCACACATCCCCAAAACATCAGCGATCCACCTCCATGTTTCACAGTAGGAATGGTGTACTTTTCATCATAGGCCTTGTTGACTCCTCTCCAAATGTAACGTTTATGGTTGTGGCCAAAAAGTTCACTTTTGGTCTCATCCCTCCAAATAATTTTGTTCCAGAACTTTTGAGGCTTATCTTTGTGCTGTTTGGCATATTGTAAGCGTGATTTTTTTGTGGCATTGGCGTAGTAATGGCTTTCTTCTGGCGACTCGACCATGCAGCCCATTTTTCTTCAAGTGCCTCCTTATTGTGCATTTTGAAACATCCACACCACTTTTTTTCCAGAGAGTCCTGTATTTCAGCTGAAGTCATCTGTGGGTTTTATTTGCATCTCGAAGAATTTTCCTGGCCGTTGTGGCAGAGATTTTTGTTCTTGGTCGACCTGATCGTGGTTTGGTTTCAACAGAATCTCTCATTGTCTAATTCCTAATTACAGTTTGAACACTGCTGATTGGCATTCTCAGTTCCTTGGATGTCTTCTTATATCCCTGTCATGTTTTACACAGTTCAATTACCTTTTCCCACAGAACCTTTATACACACACTGATTACAAGCAGACAGATCACAAGTGTGGATGGTGACCTTTAGTAGCCATTCAAACCCATTTGTGTCAATTTGTGTGCATGTTATCAGGCCAAAATGTTAAGGGTATGTAAACTTTTGATTCAGGTCATTTGTGTAGTTTCTGTTGTCATTATGATTTAAAAAGAATAAAAAGAGTTGTTTGATAATAAATGGCTTCACCCAAGCACTAACCATGAGTGAAAGAAGAGTTTTTGTGTTATCATTCATATTCTCTGAAAAATGGCCAAGAAATCATAAATTCTGCCAGGGTATGTAAACTTATGAGCACAACTGTACATACTTACAGACAACAGTTCTTCAGTGACACTGACATGTAAGACTATACTGGTAGTACTACTAGTAATTTTTCCCATGGTTTTTCAAGGTCACACGTAAAGGACTGCCCCTTTGTGTTGATCATTTCTTCTAGTTAACTAGTTGGAATTCAGAGGAGTCCAAACCCACAGAGCCCCAACATACAAATGGTCAAATACCCATTCTGTCATCAACCCTGTCGCATTCTGGCAGGACTGAACACAGAGGTGACCATCGATTTTACAACCGTGTTTTACCTCTAAAATCAGCACAACAGCGGGAAGATTTGCCCCCATTCTGGAATCAGACTTTTTACGCATAAAATTCCTGCATTGAACAATCAATGTAAAATGAGGCTGAAGAAAGAGATTGGGACGCACCAGTGACATTTAAAAACAAACACCACCTAGGCAATTCCACACTGTCAAGTACATGGCACATGGCCAATGGTCACCCCAAAAAAATTGGGAGCGAGAAAAAAAAAATCAACCCACACTTTTCAGTTTGGAGATTTTACATCTTTATAAAGTGGTGAATTGCAGCCTCATCTGCTGCAAAATTGCATGGTTTTAAACCAAAAGCAGATAATGTCTAAACACAGTGAATAGTAGCACCCATTAGCTGTGGCTAAAAAACTTCCCAAGTGGATTTAAAACAAACTGAAAGAAAGGAAGTTGTTTCCATCTGGCTCATAAAGATGTCTAATTTGCAGTGAAGCACCACAAAAAGTAAGTTTGTTGAACCCTAACAGCTCAGAGAAAAGACCCTACAGAGGTCAAACAAGATATTCTCTCCTTGCACTTCTCCAACACATTAGAAACGTCTCACTGCTGTAAGCATTTTTCCTGAGAGGAAGCGGCATGACAGAAAAAAATGCTGACCTTCAGGCCGAAGAGAGCGATTAGATGGACTGGGTACAGTGATGTAATTGAAAAATGAGCAGAGGAAAAAAAAGAGACAAAATCAATAATCCCTAAAACAACAACTTTATAGGTTCTAGAGACATTAATACGGACCTGACTGTAGTGGAAAAACAATGCCTGTTGGTGTCTGAATGGCCCGAGCAGGAGTGTGGTGTAAAACAAAGAGCAGAGAAATGTGGAAGAAAGGCAGGTGGGTGTTTGGACACTGCTACTGTTCGGAGAGTGTGAGTTTGTGCATGTGACTGTCTCACCACCATCTGGCAGTGGAAACGCCTAGATGAAACTAGAGACAAAACACGTGGGCAATTTAAAAAGAGGTTACTTCTACAAATAACGTGTGCAATAAATGTAAAATGTAAGTAAATAAATAATATCAACAAGGCTTCATTGATCAGGCAGCCTTTGCCTCATGACCACGTCTGAGTAGCGGAAAAAAGTGCAAAAACCAGAAACAGGAAGCAGCATCTTGACGGACTTGTACACTGCATGGTTAATGCGTGACCCGACCTTTGTCATGTTTATGTTGATTGCTACATAAACATCTCTCGTCTCCTTCAGTACTTATTCATCTTCTTTGGAGAAAAATGGAGAAAACAGATTGGTGAATTTAGAGCCAGAGTGCCACAACCAGACTGGACTGTGGCTCATTATCTGCTGCCACATCAGATACTGTCAAATGCCGAACCCGTGCACACTTCCAGGACTTTAGAGGTCATTTTAGATTGAAACCAGCTCCCTGTATCTGTAACCTGAATACTTTCACCAGATGGAAAATACAATCTGTTCAAACTCCCCTAAAACAGAAAAGAATACAATGAGAAGTGGGGCCAAATAATGGAGAAGCGATGGCAGGTCTGGCCAAAAAGAGACAAATACTAACCAGCAGAAGAAGAAAATTGTGTGTGTGTGCATAATTTCTGAGCTCCTTTGTACTCTCCACTCTTTCTTCCCCTCCTCCACTTTATTTTAGTGGCCTGTGTGAACAGCCAATGGAAAAATGGACTACTTGTGCAGTGACAAAAAAACAGGAAGACTTAAAATCAAAGTGCAGAAATCCACTTGTTTCTCCAGCAAAAAGAACATTTATTGCCCAGGCTAAAAAAAAAATCAAGTTCAGTTTAAGTTTTCCAAGAACCAATTTAAACCTAAACTTTTCATCCAAGAAACTCTTCCTTTTTTTAAACATCTCAACCACACAAAATCCCTGCAGCCTCACTAACTCCCAGCTGCTTTGCTCACTCTTCAGTTGTTCCCAATGAACACTGTCAGTCTGCACAAAAACAAACAAATGCACCTTATTTTTGTTTTCTTTGAAATAAAAAAAGAAAAGAAAACTCTGTAAACAAATGCACCTTATTTTTGTTTTCTATGAAATAAAAAAAGAAAAAACAAAACTCTGTGTGCTCGTGCTGCTGCTGTCATCTCTCCCACAGGTCAGATCTCCCTCAGTGAGAGTCGTGGCATTTTTTATTTTTACACACAACGAGAAAAAAAAGATAACCCTCACCAGCTTTACAGGGATCCTTGTAGTCGATGGCCTCTGATGTGGCAGTGGGCTCCACATAGTAACCCGGATCAATTGACTCCTCCAAATCTATCGTCAATATGACGCCGAGAGGACACGAGAGGAGAAGGAGGAGAAGGGACAGACATCTCGCCGAGAGATCCATGATTGTGGAGAAGACACGGCGAGAAGCGAGGGATAAAGGTAAAAGAAGGAAGAGAGAGGGAGAGAGAAATGGGAGGTTTTTTTTGGGAAATTAGATCCCAGAGGAGGGCGGGTTTAATCCAGCCTCTCCCTCTCTCTCTCTCTCGCTCTCTCCTCTCCGGTGTCTTCTTCTTTGCTCTGGGGCTTTTGGTTGCATGTTTTCGCAAAGTTTGGTGATCAGTCAGCAGGAGCTGGAGAATGTTCTTTCTTTCTTTCTTTCTTTCTTTCTTTCTTTCTTTCTTTCTTTCTTTCTTTCTTTCTTTCTTTCAGTTAAAGGGTTGGATGTGTTCCCAGTCAGCTGGATACAGGAGCAGGAAGGCTCTTATTCAAGAGAACGGATTCTTTTCATTCTTACTTTCCTCCCTCCCTTCCTTATTTACTTATCTGATTTTTTCGTTTTACCTCATTATCGCAATCCTTCCTTCACTGTGTGTGTCCGTACGGACCTGTACATTGGGGAGACTAAACAACCACTACACAGGCGCATGGCCAAACATAGGAGGGCCAACTCCTCAGGACAGGACTCTGCTGTTCACATACACCTCAAGGACAAAACACACTCCTTTGAGGACAACTATGTGCACATTTTAGCCAGGGAAGACAGATGGTTTGAAAGAGGGGTAAAAGAAGCCACTTTTGTCAACCTGGAAAAACCATCACTCAACAGAGGAGGTGGACTCAGACACAACCTATCACCCACATACAAGGCACTTTTAGGAACAATACCCAAAAGATTCACCTCAGTTTCACATAACAAAGAGGCAGGTGACCGAAACCATTCTGATGAGGACCACAACGACCCATCAGACTCTTAACGACTGTTTACAGTTTATATTCGGAGCACACTTTTGCTCTGTAGATTCAGATTTAGAAAAATCTGAATCTAAATTTTTTATGAATCTGAGTTTTGTTCATTTATCCCTTTAACCCCGTAAAGCCCAAACCATTACATTGACAGAAAATTCCAATTCTTTGAACTTGGACCCTTTATTGGTCCCTCTGAACAAAAACAAAAAACTATTCAAATATAATTTTCCATATACGAGTTTCAATTTGTATCATATTTGATACATTGGGTCACAATGGTCAAATATTCATTTTTCCTGAACAAACAAAAACATAATAAAACACAGACAAATCTAACAAATTTGTGTTCCTACCATAATGCAGTAATGAGAAATCCACTAATGGAACTGGCTGGGTGCAAGTATCTAAAGCCAAACCACACAGCGCATCACACAGGAGCTGCGTGGAAGCATTTAATGACAGAAGGTGAACAGACATTCACCAAGACAGGGAGGCAACGCCGGGCGAGTTACGCCAATATCTGCTTATATATCGTGGATGCCTGGGCTAAGGCATCAGTCTCAAATGTCGTCCGAGCTTTCACGAAGGAATCATCACTAAACAACTAATTAACAGCAACGAGACTGACTCGGATAATGACAAGACGGATCCCGGTATGCTTGATTGACTGTTTTGTTTCGCTTAATGCGCCTTATGTATGAAAACTAGTGATGTGTCGTTCGCGAGTGATTCGTTCAAAATTAACCAATCTTTCATCTGACTCGCGACTCCCGAGTCATCTGAAAGATTCGTGACCCCGGGTTTCCCGGTCCATATGAAAGATTCGTGACTTGTGACTGTGACTTGTGACTGTGAATCATATGAAATATTTGTTCATATTGAACTCACGAATCACTCACAAATCTCTCTCTGTGAACTGATCTTTCACTGTAAACTAATCTTTCACTACTAACGAATTGCTCTCTGCGAGCGAATCTTTGGCTGTGAGCTAATCTTTCACTACGAACTAATCTTTCACTGTGAACTGATCTTTCACTGTAAACTAATCTTTCACTACTAACGAATTGCTCTCTGCGAGCGAATCTTTGGCTGTGAGCTAATCTTTCACTACGAACTAATCTTTCACTGTGAACGAATCACTCTCTGTGAACTAATCTTTCGCTTCGTTCTCGCAGATTCGTTTCATTTGTCACGTGACAGAGAGCTCGGCTCTTTTTTGCTCTCTTTCATCTTCACAGTGTGGTGTGTTTTTCTTTCTTATGTTTTCACATGGTTTTAATTGCTTATGGCATTTTGTGTACTTTGTAAACGTTGTCATCAGAAGCAAACCATGTTGCCTTCAGTATTTAGTATCGGAGAACCGCAGCCTTCTTTACAGCGCTCACAATAGGGCTAAATCCCCAACTGTTGTAAAACGAATGAAATGATTAGGTCAAGATTTGTTCACGACTCGTTCATTTTACTGTTCGATAGTCAAAGATTCGAATCAATAAAAAGAGTCGGTCTTCCCATCACTAATGAAAACAGACCCGTTCATTGATATTGCGCCTTATAATCTGGTGCACCTTATGGTCTGAAAAATACAGTATATATAATGGTGTATTAATATATAATATGATACAGCAAGTTACATATCTATTTTTTTACTCTAAATGTACCAAATTATGTAATTTAAAAATAAAAACTTATATAATGCATGAAATACAATAAAATGACAGTTGACTGGTTTAGAGTTACATGACCTTATATACCTGCTGTATCAAATTTCATACATCATTTTCAACAAGGTTTTACTAAAACATAGATTATGAAATTTTAGGTATTTTCACATTGCATCAACCCAGTAACTATTCCTATTGATGTTTAAGTAAAAATTTAATGTTTTTCTCATCTTAACCTTTTCAAACTTGGCAAAGTTCTTGTCCAAAAACTACCTGTGTCCAAATCCTGAGTCATGGCAATCTTGTAGTGTCACTGGAAGGCCCGCTAATGAGTGAATAACTATTCCCTGTTGAATTATCTGTGCACTGCATGTATCTGATTGTATACATCTGGTTTTTCAGGGGAAAAAAATCACATTGTTCATGTGGAGGGCTGTAAAACTCATGTATCAAATATGATACATTTGGCATTATAGGGTTAAGAGTTTTGTCAGTTTTAAAGGTCTCTGGTTAATCCCTAGTCCCTAGATGGAATCAACTACAGTAGATAGATTTACCTAATCTATCAGTGAGGGTATATTTGATGTTCTTTCCCGGCTTTAGTCACATACGTGAGCAGTCTGTGTCAGCAGTTTAGCTGTTCTTCATCTGACCGTCAGTTGTTGTCCCCCCCCTTACAATTTACACGAAAACATCTCTGTTTGTAGTGTTATAAGCAACACACACTCCTCATCTTTATCTAATATGAATGATGGCCATGTGTGGAATGTAAGACAGGATGTCTGCTGGCTGATGTGAGTGGGCTGTGTTTATGCTGCTGCTGTAAACACCTCAGTATAACTACCATAATCTCCTTCATTATACTGCACTTAGCAAACAGTGATCCTCAGCTGGCTCAGACCTGTCAGTGTTGAGGATGGAAACAAATATTTACCCTCCTGACAGGAATCACAGTGGACTTAAAACTGGACCCCAAAAAAAGAGGCTAAGATAGACAATGTAGCTTCACATAGCAGTGTAAATAAAATAAAATAAATACATTTAAACTATATTGATCCCATATTTGGGAAAATTTTGTGTTAACAGCAGATATGGTGTAGACCATGGAACTTTTTATCTTTAAGAGAAAAATAAGCATATTAAAGTAAACCAGTTTGATTAATATTATTCACTGTATGTTGATAACAATACTATATACATAAAGTATAAACTATGTGTTGATATAAACAAGACCTGCACAAAATTGACTTCTAAAAACGTATTTTTTAGCATTTTTTTGCAACATGTATAATTAAACTGATCATATAGAGGACAAGAAATAACTGGACTAAAATATCTGCGTCTGTATTTGTCACCCACGTCGTTGACATAAAAAAAAACATTCTATTTGACTTATATTTACTGTATAATTCCTGAAATTATGCTCTAATCTGCTTCAACAGTAACTAAATCTAGAAAATGTTAGACAAGGTAAAATTAAACTTGTGAATTATTGCTGTTGTTGTAACACTGTTTAACAGTTTTATGATATTAAAGAAATATTTAACATGTTTAACTGTAATTATCCAAGCCAAACACTTAATGAACATACTAGTATATTCTGAAGGATTACGTTATACAACTGTCAGGAATGTCAGACTTTTGGACCCAAATGCAACACACTAAGGCAGAAGCTCTTTCCAAAAGTTTATTGCAGGATTAATCGATCTCCGCTTAGAGATCCAATGGCTATGGCAGCTACTCTTACTTGCTAGGGAATCCCGTCACCGCGGCGGATTCCCTCTGGACAGCGCAGCCAAGTCAGGAACCGAACGGCTGAGCCGGCAGGAACTCACTTCAAAAGACGGCGAGAGGAATCTCGTCCACAGCGCCGATGAGACTGGCCGTGGATCGTCGCTACGGGTAACTGTAGGACTACAGGGAATCTCCACTACTGGAACTGGAACTGGAACTGGAACGTGTAGCCTCCGTGAACGGACGAGACGATCTGGCAGCGGGGAGTGTGTGGCTGCAGCTTAAATACCAGACATAAGGCACCTCGGTGGATGTGAGAGCCAAAAGGGGGGCGGTTAAAGAACTATAACCTCTTATAAAACGCCGGTAAAAGTTGGCAAATCCCAGAAATCTTTGCAACCGTTTACGGGAGTCTGGTCGAGGCCAGTTGGCGACTGACACCTTGCTGGGATCCATCTGGATGTTCCCCACCTGAATGACGTACCCCAGGAAGGAAGTGGAGGATACGTGAAATTCGCACTTCTCCGGTTTAACGAATAGTGCATTCTAGAGAAGGCGCTGGAGAACTGTTCTGACATGGTAGACATGCTCACTCTTAGAATATCGTCCAGGTAAACAAAGACAAACTTGTTGAGCATGTCCCAGATGACGTCATTGATCAGGAAAACGGCTGGAGCATTGGTAAGACCGAAAGGCATGACCAAGTATTCATAGTGTCCCGTGGGTGTGTTGAAGGCAGTCTTCCACTCATCCCCCTCACAGATACGGACCAAGTGGTATGCACTCCTAAGGTCAAGCTTCGTAAAGATAGAAGCACCCTCCAGCAACTCAAAGGCTGAAGACATT